CTCTTCTCAGGGCACTTCCCTTTCCCCTACCCCAACCCCATTATACTTTGAGAAGACAGAATCTTTATCCAATTCCAACTATTTAAACAGAAGTGGGACCTTCATTTCCTGTGCGCTGTCCTCTCCAGTTGCTGCTTCTTCCTGCTTTCTCTCTGCAGTGTTTCTTGAGACAAGAACCTACGTGCCAGTCCAGTAGCCTCCAACCAGGGGAATTGCAGCTCACTCTCAGATGGTTTCCACAATTCACTCGTAGGTAAGGTTCAGGCAGGCAACAGCCCTGCTTTTGACTTTTCCTGGCCATTGCTTTAGACCCGAGTCCTCAAGCACAGATACAGCAGCGATATTCACAGGTAGCACACATGCAGAGATTTATTAAGCATATATACATGTTATATACCAAATCACATACAGGGTGAAATCATGAGGTGCCTTTGCCAAGCCTACAGAATTGAGGGGGTGGGTGAAGGCAAAAAAAATAAGTCAACACTTACCTGAGCTACTGCTGGCAAGAATGCTCAATCACTACTGCAGAACAAGATAATGATTTCTAACATTCAGACTCAAGTGTCATACTAGCACACAAACACTTTAAAAACAAAAGTTTAGTGTACAGTTGACTATTTTGTCCAGCAGGTGTTGCTGGAGACTACAAAACACATTAAAGACAAGGTCAAGCTGGTCAGCTTTTGGTAGGGGGTCAGACAGTGCATGGTGGGTTTCCCCTACGTGCCGCCCAATTCAACAAGAATAGGGTGACTAAGAATACTTTTATTCATTAACTTTTTACATGTTATAGTCTAAAGCAATGCAATCTATGAAATTGAAATCCTATTTTCAAATATACAAGCAGTGCCTACCTCCATTTCTAGGTGGAGGTAAAGTTGTCTATAACTTCATAAAAGAGCCAGGTAGTCAGTAAGTTTTTCAGGTTCTACATCTTAATAAATTCTGATCCATCCCAACTAAAATAAAACATGTTATTAGGTCTGTGGTAATCAACAGCTTGGGGGCGGGGGAAGTAGGAAATCAGTCAGGGGATAGGACAAGGTCAGGTTGGATGGGGGTCTGAGCAACCTGATCAAGTTGAAGATGTCCCTACCCATGGCAGGGGGGGTTGGACTAGTTGACCTTTAAAGGTCCCTTACAACCCAAATCATTCTATGATTCTATGGCACTTGGAAACTGCAAAAAAAACCCCAAACCAAAACAACTAGACAAATGCTGTTTGTCAATAGCTCAACAAAAACAAAACACAGACTATGACGACCTTAGTAATTCTAGCTAGTTAACCCTGTGTGACTTCATGGCAAAAATTGCTGGGAGTTTGATATGCAATCTATGAAAGTAGAAGAACAGTTTCTAGTTATGCTAGTTTCCAGCTGGAGGGTGCTAACTTTTTACAGACACTCCTCAATCATCTGTTGGCCTTCATGGCTATAATGGCCCAGTAGTATGCATGACTATCACAGTACTGTTTTCTGGAAAAAATATTCTCCAAGTAAATCCAATTTTGTTTTGATGGTAATGGCATAAATATATTTTTGTATAGTATTTGAATACCATTGTGACTCAAAATATTTTAAAAATATGAACTTTATTATTTTATTATAATGGCTTAGCCTGCAAAACAATGAAAAACTAAGGACCATCAATATTTCTACAGGTTTGATCCACAAGATGAATTATCCAAAAAGTCAATCAATCCTTGATACTTACAATTCACATTAAGGAGTTGGGGGGGGGTGTTAATACTTTTTTGTTTGTTTCCAACAAGAGCTAGTTTTGTACAGTCAAATGGAAGACAATTCATCCATAAATAAATTATTTAGATGGAACTAATTTCAGAATATTCTTTTGGAAAGCAGCATTTGTCAGTGTTAAGTGATGTCATGTCTTTTAGAGGAAACTAGAGATTTAGTCCACCACATGACCTACTCTTTGGGCACAAGATGCGGCAAGACTAGACAGGTAGTGTTTTCCAGTAACATATCATAGAAGATGGATTGCAGACACTGGATTTATATTCAAAGACAGAAGACAAAGAAGCAGATAAATATCCAGAGGATGTGGGTGCATGAAGCACCTGCTTTCAGTTATTTTTAGGTTCTTTTTCTGTGTAGTTATTCAAGAAGTCACAGACTCTGATCAAAAAAGTTAAGGGACTATGCTACCTCTGTATTGGAAAATTAAGCTAGATGAATTAATGAGAAAAGTGGTTAAACATTAAATGTAGCTATTTTGAATAACACATTTGCCACCCAACTCTAAATACGTGCTTCTTAAATTGAGATAAAGCTTTCTTCTTAAAGTGCTGAAGCTCATTTTGTTACACCATGATTAGTAGAATTTCTTCAACTGACATATGAGACTACATTTTGGGAGAGGCTAGTGGCTGCTTCTTCTGAAAAGGTGGCTTGCTTAACTGCATACAAGTTTTGCCCAAATGTTTTTGCCATCAATTTGTAAGCTACCACAATTACTGTAAGACTGTTTCTATTAAAAAAGAAACCCCCTTCAATGCCAGTAAAAATAGATACCACTTCTTACTCAGTAAGCATTTGAATCATGGGTCACTGGATGCTGGGAGTATTTGTGGGAAGCATTAACACACACTTTCCATATTCTCTGCCTCTTCCCACTGGCCAGTGTTGGGGCCAGGGCATTCTCAGCCTCACCATTGGCCTCAGGAAAGCTTATGAATATTTGAGATAAAATTTCACCATTTTTACTATTCCTATAAACTACTTTAAAACCCTGAAGGTCTTTTTTAAACATTCTCCTTGGCACACAGTAAAGAGTTAAAACATTCAAAGCCACTTCAGTTGTGTTGTTTAGGCTGGGCATCCCTTCCACAGCAGATACAGAATCTGTGTCGAATAGAATCATAGAATCATTTAGGTTGGAAAAGACCTTTAAGATCATCAAGTTCAACCATAAACCTAACACTGCCAAGTCCACCACTAAACCATGTCCCAGAGCACTACATCTACATGTCTTTTAAATACCTCCAGGGATGGTGACTCAACCACTTCCCTGGGCAGCTTGTTCCAGTGCTTGACAACCCTTTCAGTGAAGACGTTTTCGCCAATATCCCATCTAAACCTCCCCTGGCACAAGTTGAGGTCATTTCCTCTTGTCCTATTGGTTACTTCAGATAAAAGAACAACACCCACCTGGCTACAGCCTCCTTTCAGGTAGTTGTAGAGAGTGATAAGGTCTCCCCTCAGCCTCCTTTTCTCCAGGCTAAACCACCCCAGTTCCCTCAGCCACTCCTCATCAGACTTGTGCTCTAGACCCTTCACCAGCTTTGTTGCTCTGCTTTGGACACGCTCCAGCACCTCAATGTCTTTCTTGTAGTGAGGGGCCCAAAACTGAACACAGTATTCGAGGTGTGGCCTCACCAGTGCTGAGTACAGGGGGACGATCACTTCCCTGGTCCTGATGGCCATACTATTTCTCATACAAGCCAGCATGCCATTTGGCCTTCTAGGCCACCTGGGCACACTGCTGGCTCACATTCAGCCGCTGTCAACCAACACCCTCAGGTCCTCTTCCGCCAGTCAGCTTTCCAGCCACTCTTCTCCAAGCCTGTAGCGTTGTCTGGAGTTGTTGTGACCAAATTGCAGGACCCAGCACTGAGCCTGGTTGAACTGCAGTTGGCCTCAGCCCATCCCTCCAGCCTGACCACATCCCTCTGTAGAGCCTTCCTACCCTCAAGCAGATCAACGCTCCCACCCAACTTGGCATCATCTACAAACTTAGTGAGAGTGCACTTGATCCCCTCACCCAGATCATTGATAAAGATATTAAAGAGAACTGGCCCCAATACTGAGCCCTGGGGAACACCACCTGTGACTGGCCACCAACTGGATTTAACTCCAATTCACTACAACTCTTTGGGCCCAGCCATCCAGCCAGTTATTCATCCCACAAAGAGTACACCTCTACAAGCTTACATAGCTACTGTGTACAGCTTGTTTGCATAGCAGTACCTGTGCTGATGTTACAAGCCTCTGAAAATGAGTGATGCAAGAGCACATAATTATCATAGGTCAATCAAATTTATTTACATTATAGGGGAAGAAAGGCTTAGTAAGTTTGTTGATCTCTCACCAACTGATATTAATGACTGTTTAGAGGTATGCTTTAAGAGAGGTCTTATTTAGTGTAGATGAACATTAAAATGTTGCAACAAAACCATGAGATACTCAAAGTTTTCACAAGACAGGACTATCAAAGTAAAAACTTTGAAGTATTCCAGTCTATCATTTTTTACTGATGAAAACTGCATATGCAGAGAATAAAGTTGCCTAAACCAAGCCTGATTTCGCTGTCTTACATGAATAGCACTGATACCTCTTACAAATAAAAATACTTGGCAGTTTTCATTTGTTAATTGCAAAGTTAAATTTGCTAGTCCATTCAATTCACATACAGCTTTCTCTGATAGTCCCCTGTGACTTTAATACAGCAGTGTAAAAGCTTCCCCAACAGACTAATCTATTGAGCCTTTATTAATTTTACTGTATGTCATCTTTACATGAGGTAGAATACAAATGCATAGATATTATGCATCCATGCCATAGAACATGCTGCTACTGTGTTCCCTAGACTATTCCCAGTTCCTCCCACTGCTCCCTTCCCATTCTCAGCAATTTATGAGTTTTCCTCCTTACCTCAGACCCAGGTATTTCTTCACAGTTTCATCTAGTCCTCCATCTTTAGTTATGGGTTCCACTTCAAATCTTCCAGGGGCTTCATCTTTCCAACATGCAGTACCATTTCTAAAGCGGTAGAGACAGACTGCTATAGATACTAACACACAGACTGTGGTGTTCTCTCCTAATGTAACTATCAGAAAGTATGTTATTATCTCAGTCCCACTCTCATGAGGGAACCACGAGCATTACGCAGGAGCAGGAAGCAGATCTAATCAGGACTTGCCATAGCATATTCCTGACTCAGTATTTTATTTCCACAACTATAAATGTTAGACAATATTAAACAAAACTTTTAAGTTTAATATTCAAATTCAACACTAGTAAGAACAAATAGAGCACAAATGGGAAACATTGTTTAAACTAAAATTAATGAAGAGACAAGCCAGTAATTACAACACTTCTATTTTTTAGCAACATCTGGCAGCCTAGGTCCAACATCAGTACAGGTTCTGACAGCCACATTCTGTTCATTTTGGAACTTAAAACCGAATAGTTAAGCTTTGTCTGTTGGCATCTCAGACTGCAGTTTCAGTATAGTATACCATAAGCACAATCAAACTTATGTACATTAACAATGAAAAACAACCTGAACACTTAACACTAGACAATTATTTACAAGTACTCCAACATTAAAAAAAAAATACAATAGCCTCAAGAATGGACAAGTGAAGAGAATACCAACATTTAGAGAACCTTATTAGAAAGAATTACAAAACATCAATAGCCAAGACATTAACAATTGCACTACACTAATACAGAATCCAAATATTAAATTGGTGCATTATTTCACAATGCACTAGCTTTGAGAAAAATGCTGCCTTCACTAAAATGCAGCTTAAATTTGTTTCACGTAATTGTTTTAACAAGAAGCCTATTAACACAATAATGATTGTTTTAATGCTACAGTTTACAGCGAGGACAACAAACTAAAAATAGCAGCAGTTCCACACGGCACTTAATTCCACAGGTTTCTAAGCTGTGGTTTATGCAATGCCTAAAAAGTGCTCCCAGTTGAATACACAAATAAAATTCACAATAAAAGTCTACCTGACATCAGGTACATTGAGTGTAGGTGGCCTTAAAGCCTGTCTCTCAAAATTCATTCCCCTCTGCTCCAAAAAAAAAAAAAAAAAAATCAGTAACTATCAAAGCAAGGCCCCTTCCCTCCCTCTCAAAGATCATTAGGGATATTACTTCTTATTACAATGCCATAACATTACAAAGCAGCACACCACTATAGTGGTTAACCCTGGGACAATGTAACATCTAACAGTGTAACTGAAAGGCTTATGGATTAACATCCAGGATCCTCTATAGATAAGATAGTAACTGAGTCCATTAACTCAAATGGTTAATACAGCTAATCAGCCATATTGTACAAGTAAAAACCCAGAAGCAATTCCTGTAAAACTAACGACACTGATCAAAGACAGGACAAGAAACCAGGAATTGAATGCTTCCTTCAATTCCTTGAGCTTCTGTCCAGCAGAGATGCTATAGCCATCCTCAGTAGTTCTTTAGACTTCATAGTTAGTATATAGTAAGACTAACTGAGCGGTTCATTTTCTTTCCAATGAGTCGAGATGGTCTGTTTTGTGTTGTAGATCTAGTTGTCATTCTGTCAGTGAACAGGGCTCGCTCCTCAGCTGCAGCCTTTGCCATCTGTGCCTTCTTCAGCTCTCTGCAAGACATTGAGATGTCACACTCACACAGCAGTACCAGTAAGGACTACAGGCGTACCACAGCAAGAGCGTTTCACATGAATTACAGCAGTTCAGAACTTAAGACTTGCCATCAGTTTAGGTCATGCTAAGATCATCATCATTTGCATCCACTTGTTTACAACCCAGAGGACAGAAATAGGGTGTTCCTTACTTGTCTAGATGTTCTTTCTTTTGAGCAACAAGGGAAGGAAATGACAAATTCACACAACTCAGTCGGATTTTGAAATCCAGCCTTTTATAAGCAGCTCAACACTTCAATTACTAGAAAACAGTAGGATGCTGTTTACTTTCTAGTACAAGCTGTATGATAAATCACTGAAGAGCTAATTACTGAGGTTTGCCCTAATGAAGCATTCAGCTGCAACTGAACTTCCGTGGAAGATTCAGACACTTAGATGAACATAAGTGAACGCAACCGGCAACAGACAACTGGGGAAGCATCCTTTTCCTTTTGCATACCCACATCAAAAGCTTATCACCACCTAAATCTTTTTTGCCTAACATGAAAATTTGAGCCCCAAACTGCATGGCTGAGCCACTGAAGGTAGCACAGGCCATTGTCCCCATGCAACATTCTGTCAACTATTCCGTTTCAGAGAATTACCAATACTCAGTCTGAGTAGAAAGTTAAATAAAACTCAGGATAAAACAATGAAATAGTCTCACTAAAGAGCAAAGTTATCTTCATCAAGGGTTTCCCCACACAACCCTTTTCTCCTTTCCTTAAAGACTGACATATGGCCAAGTGTAAGGATTCTCCTCTTTTCTTTGTCCTATCCCTCAAATAATTTTCTCTACCATAAGAACTAGTATTTGTAATCTCACTTCACATCTGGACTCCCAAGCAAGATCAAATTTTACAAGCTTGCTGCATATTGGTGTAGGTGTATTTAGTTGTAAGTTACATGTTTTAGTTTAATAAACTCCTCCCATTCTTATAAGCCAAAGTATTATTCGTTAATACTCACACCCCATCTAATCCTCCCCACATTATCACTGTGTCAGTTCACTGCAAGAGAATGCAATCAATTTCTTGTCATCTTCCCAAAAGAACGTCAGTCACAAATGCACACGTGTTGCACACCCACCCACCACACCATTACCAGGAAATTAAGTCTTACAATGTACTTCCATTCTTCCCTAGAAGTCTAATCTTGAATTCTTCCTTCCTCTGAAGACAACAACACAGTAGAAAAGCTGAGTTTCCTTACAAGGATTCCTTTCACTGCTGATAACTTACATACACAAGCGGTATCTTAAACAGGTCAAATGCAGGAATGTTAAAAATCCCAAACAAAAACTTTAAATACTTTATGAAACACTATCCCACACAACGTTAAAAATTACTGTGGATAAGTGTTCTTTTTAAATCATTCTTGGATTTATAGTTATTTTACAAGGACATAACCCTACTTGTTGCCAGGTGAGAAAGTCTTCACAAAAATACTAGTTTTGCCATCTTCTCCTTTCACGTGATACAAAAATACGTTGTCTTTATACAAGCAAGCAAGTTACCCCAACAAATCTGTCCTTGAATAACCTGCACAAACTGTCAAATTATTCTTTCTACAGCCAGTGCAATTCATAAGATTATAAAGATAACCATCTAAAAAGGCATGTCTGGCTACATTCAGACTGTAGCAATGGCAAGATAAGCAGATGGCAGCGAAGAGAATCCAAATACGAAGTTAACATCTTCGTTCAAAACAAGACAGTCAGAAAATAATCAGTGTTCTATATTCCCTCATAAAAGCCTGCCTATTATGTATAGTGTGTGCAAAGTTAGCTGCAGTGAAAAATTCAGATGATTGCTTCTTAACTTACTAACTCTTTCTCTGAAACTTAAGCAGAAATCAGACTTTCCTAAAGGGAGTCAATTCTTCAAAGCTTTAATTCAGAGTTGAGTGTTTGAGCAAGTGGTAGGACAAGATGACCTCCCAATACAAACGATTTTCTGGTAACCTAATAGCACTGCTGCGTACAAGACAAATTAGTCCAAAAGCATTCCTGATGTGCCATTTCATTTAAGTTCAAAACAGCTCATTTAAATCACATTTTCCGACATGTTTCAATGTACATATGACCTAGGAAAACACAGACTCAAATAATATAGATGTAAGTTACACTATACATGTCACAAAGGTATGCATTTGTGCTTGAAGCATTTGTTAAAAACTGTAAAGTTTTGTATGCCTTGAATACTAATAGTGTAGTTGAGATTCCCTTAAGAGTGTTCAAGAAGTTCCTTCTATGGAGAAAGTTCCTTTTAAAGTTACATAACCCACTTTGTACCCCCTCGGGTATGTATGTGCAGACAGATTTGTGGACCTCATGCAGAATTGAGGAGGGTCCTGTTTTATCATCACTCTAGTATCATACGAAAACCCACTAGAAATTAAGTTATATTTAAGGATATAGGAACTACTTACTTCTGCAAGAGCGAGTTTTTGAATTTTTCAGCATTCAGTTCTATCCGGAGCTGCTCTGCACTCTTTTTTGCAGCAGAAAGAAGCACTGAATGCTTGACTAGTGCCACAGCTGAAGGCCTTTTCTCTGGATCAGGATTAATCATAACCTTGGAAAAAAGAAAATAAAGCATTCTAGTTAAGGCCAGTAATACAGTAAATTACACTAATCAGTGAGCCACTAGTACAAGATTTCTTACTTTTAGTAACTCTAGTAATTCTTGAGAAAGCACTTGTGGTATTCTAGGTAGTTTTCCTTGTCGAATTTCATGCCATTGGTCCCCATTAGTCGGAAGTGGTTCAGCCCCAGCAGCACAGACAACAGTCAGAGCAAGAGCAAAAATATCTGCTTTTGGCAAATGGGTGTAGTTCTTGAAAAATAAAGAAAAATAAACTTACTTCACATACCACCCAGCGTAAGAAGAAATCTAACAGACAGCTAAACTATTCAGCACTGAAAACATACACAAAATTACATTCCCCTTTAACTACTACCAGTGTTCAAGGGCATACCATTTAGGAAGTTACTCCTCAAGCAAGGAGGTGGCAGACAGCAACTCATTAAAGAAAACAGTACGCAGACCTAACATCACTATTTTCCACAAACAGAGCAGTTACCTCTTGTAGGACTTCATTTGCAAGGAAACGGCTATCACCTTCCTCCACTTGTGGACTAGATACTCGAGTTACATGACCAAGGTCACCTGCAAAAAGAAAAGAAAGTTATTTTTCATAAGACAAAGACAATGAAATTCTTTTGAGCACAAGTGTGCTGCTTCTCACCTATTTTAAATATGACTCTGTCAGACGACCAGTCATCATCATCACCTTCTTCTGAAGTTGTACTTGGAACTGATGTCCTAGATATGAAAATATTACCTGAAAAAGAGAATTGTTAAAAAAAAAAAAAATCCATTTCTGTCCAATTTCTACTTCATCTAGTTTCACTACAGTTTGCTTTAGCCACACAGAAATTGTTAGTTGAATACATACCCAGTTCACAGAGCAAGAAACTGTAACGTACTCACTCTGGCCTCTCTGCTGGGAGGGGAGCCAAGTGTTATGCAAGTAGAGTCAATTAAACAAAAAGGACCCAAGATAAACTCAGCAACAGTTTAAGTGTGCTAGCCAATTTTATAACTGACATCTTTGTACTGCTATTTAGAACTTCAGTGAAGAACTGACAGTTAGTATGGTGTGGCTAACTGCTCATTTTTCTACAGCAGATTAAATTAACTGAGGAAGGTGTCAATATGGAGTTAAGCAGTTTACAAACTTACTAGGTTTGATATCCATGTGTACCAGTGACATTGAATGAATGTACTTTAAGCCTCGGGCCACCTGAAGCAGCAGGTCCTTCAGTTCTGGTTCAGTAAAATAACGCATATTCCTGTAATTTTCACTTATGGCATCTGCTAAGCTGCCGCCTAAAACAACATTAAAGCAAACAACTAACTATTTTACATCAAACAGTTGACAAAGTAATGGCAATTTGCTTCCAAAAGTAAGTACGACCAGCTTCCAAAATTAACTGAATATATCACCAAGAACTTTTTGATGATACATAGGAGGTGTAAAATCCAGTGTTGTATACCCTCTTTATAGCCATGTAATATATAAAAAAAAATTATTTTTCTGCTGTAATTGCCATGCAAATTAACAGGATGCCAACACAAGGGATAAGACCTCTCTCCCTCTTCCAAATCACTGTCAGGCTATCAACCATAGAAAAAAAGCTTCAGAAATCAGGTCCACCTCCCTTTTTAAAGGAAACCCTCTGGTAATTTTCTCTATTCCAACTTGTACTATTGTACAAAAGAAAGAACGGTTTTGCTGCTCATAAATGCTTCACTGCACTTCCAATATTCTTGAACGCTTAAGACTTTGTCTGCAATTTTATATAGTTTTCGCTTCATGCATCCGATATGCCTTTTCCAACAGAAAGAAACATCAGACACATTTGAGACAATGATGGTATGAGCTATGTGTAGGGCAATCAATTCCTAACTAGCGCTAGGGATTTGTAGAGATACCTCTATATATTAAAAAAATGGTATTTTTTTGAAAACAAGTTCAAAACAAGAGATAAACCTTACTTACCATTGCAATATTCATTCTGTATAAGCATATGATCATCTTCTGCCCATGCAGAGTAGTATCTTACTACGTGGGAATGCTGTCCCAGAACTGCATGTGCATAGACCTCTCTTAAAGCATTTTGCCTGTTACAGTCACAAAAAATAGCACACAAGAATATCATGAGGTGAAATTAGTCCAATTTCAGCTTGACAGAAACACTTATTTTAATACCATGCCCCTCTGCCAGCTCAGGTTTCCAATTAAAATCTTCATATTAACTTCTGTGGCACCTTAAGGTGGATTTGTATTTACATCCAAACAGCTAAAATAATTTACATTGTATTAAAAGACTAACTATATGGAACATAAAAAACAGGCTTTGTTGCAGATAATTCTTGAGGGAGCTGCCACTTCCATGACATACTTTCCAAGCAGCAGCAAAAAGCTTTGAGAAACATCAAAGTTTTAGGAAGAAACTGACGATGATTACAAGCCAGGAGTACAACTGAACTCAGTATTCCTAAGTTCTTGTGTCTAAGTCTGGTATGCAATTTTGAGCAACTCCAACTTGTGGAGTTTTGTATTACAAATATTAGAAGATGAAAAAGTCATGAATTGGAGGCTCATTCACAAACGCCAAAAAAAAATACCACAAAACTGACTTAACCAATCTGCATGTCACTCAAGTTGAGAAGGATGAGGACCTAGCTGAGAATATTGCTTTCTTTTTATATCTCATAGGATCATCACTGCAGTTTATTCATATAGTCCCTCCCACCATTAATGCAAGCAAGCGTTATTCTTACTTTCCATATCAGAACAATCTGTTTCCACACAGAATATTGTGACAAATGTCTGCTAGGAGAAAGGCCAAGTAGCCTTTCCTCCCCAGTACTGCATAGTATAGTGACCTCAAAATTGTATCTGTTTTAAATTTAATTCATGTATATTTATACTTTTCTCTTAAAAGCCTTCTCTAGACACCAATATAGAAAGACATCGGAAGAAAAAAAGCACCGAAAGGTGACTTTTAACAGCAGGAAATACTCACTCATCCACTGAGCCAGCTAAGGGTTTCTTGGATCGCTTTATTGCATAAATACAGCCGTCAAGCCTCTTCACACATTTAAACACAGAACCAAATTCACCAGATCCAATCTTCTCCAACTCATGAAATTCGGTTGCATACCGTGACTTCATGTTACTTTCTGTTATTGTTATCCTCTGCAAAGATTAGAAAGGAAAATACTTAGATCTGCAGATACACAAACTGCCAAACTTAGTATCAAGTTCTAATGATTAATTACCTTAGCAGGTCTGATGGTTTCATCTTCAGGCTCTCCATCACTTGCTTCCATGTCCTCACCGCAAGAGCTGAAATTCACACCAGTTACTTTTGCAGAAGTGATATGACTTAAGTAAACTTAAAACTGAAGTCTAGCAGCTGTTGACTTTTCTGAGGCCTAATTCTCCCATTCTACCTAAGTTTAGTTTAATTGAACGCTAGATATTTGTAAGCACAAAGTCATAAAACAAAGGTACCATGCTAATTCGTCATTTCCTTCTTCATGTTTCATACTAGTATTTAATGTGTTTATCACTCCTCAAGAAAAGACTGTGTGCATAGCTCATTCAGTCAGGTAAAAAGACTGTAGGACATGGCCTAGTCTATCCTCTCTGTATACTAATCAAAAGATTTAGTGCTAAATGGTTATTTCATAATATCTCAAAGCAGATACTCCAAGAACTGTATTATGCATCACTAACAGATTTGCAAGGAAAAATACTTCCACAGAAGCAATTTGTAACAAAACTGTTGGAGCTAAAAGTAGTTCTAAAGATAAGCTTAACAAAGGAACTCACTCATTCCAGTGCGTTCTCTTCCTCCTACGACATTTTCCTTCAGAGTTGTGAAGGAACATGGAATCTGGAGTGAAGGGATTGATGTTCACATGAGGTGTTTGTCTAATATCTTCTTCCTGCTTCTCTGATTTGCCAACATTCATAAATAGAGAGCCCCCTCGAAGTTTGACTGAGCTGGAGCCTAGTCCTTGTGCTTTAGAAAGCAAACTCTGTATTTAAAAAAAGAAAAAAAGATGACATTTATAGCCTCAATATTGCTTTAGACATAAACAGTCAAATCAGCTTGAAAGCCATTATTACAATAGTGTCTAATCAGAATTAGCATGAGTTGTTTAAATATCTACATTTCAATCAAAAAGAATTCCAAAGAAATTATTAGGCTTTACATTCCACACAAAAACAGTTAAGGGAAACACTGAATGTTAAAATCATTTTTAAAAGACAGCAAAGATTATGAGAGCAGTGTTTTTCTGTCTTTAATCATGTCATCACCTAAATTTCTTGGACAAGTCTTTGTCCATGAAAGGCACACAGGTAGAACTCATGGACCATCCTGTGCTATAGCACCCTGACTACAAAAAATTGCTCAAGAATTGACAGCACTGTCAGTTCAATACCCCAAACGGATCTTTTGGGTGGTAATTTGTCAGACCAGGCATTTTCCAGGCACATGATGAAACCTTTCCCAGTTAGGTAGGGAAGTCCGCACCTGAGTCTCCTACATCCTGGTGAGGATGCCAACCACTGACCTACTGGATCAGAAGCAGCGGTTAAGTATTACCTTATCCTAGCAACACCTTACAAAATAAAGAATTGACATAACTAAAGCCCGAACCACCACAGGGAAAAAGGCTCAATACGCGGGAATCTCAATGGCACTCCCCAAATCTGGACTAGATGAAGACCTTTTTAAGTCACTGTGTGTCTCAACACACATTTCAGTACTTCCACCGGATACCTTAACCAACTGATTCTTCCCGATTCCAAAGGTAACCCATGTAGAATTTGAGCACCTAATTTAATAATACCACTGAACCACAGCATTAAGAGCTTGGTTTTATTTTAGTGTCACAATCCACAAGACTCTTGCACCTCTAAAGCTCCTGACTTGGTACAAGATCATCACAATTTTACTATTTCCAAACGGGTACCACTGATTTCTACCACTGAAACCTCATATGAGATGGAAGCTGTAGAAAATCAATTAACAAGGTGGCCTTCCTCTCACCTTAAGTCAGTTGTTTTCAATCTATAGTCTATAGACCCCTGGGAGATTATCCCCTGGGATTATCCCTGGATTACTTCTAAAGGGCTATATGAAAAGTACTGAAGAAAGCACTACATTTAAATTCACCATACGGTGTTTTACATGAGTGTCGAGTTCAAAAGTTGAAATGCCTTACAAAGTCTGTTATTGACAGAGTTAAGAGCTACCTACCCCTTTAAGCTTTCAAATCCATCAGTTTAACAGCATCGGCTACTCAAATATCCTTTTACATCTGAAGCAAAGACTGCAGACACCGAACTGGCACACCGTACGACAACAGTAGTACTCAAACAAGACATACCAGTTTACTGCCTGACATGCAGGAGCAAATTACAATTCCAGCTTTAATTTTCTGATTATAAAGGTACAGATGCCCACACGAGACTAAAATATTTTAATATTCTCCTTTCGCCTTTAAAAAAATATTTTCCACAAAATATGGCAAAATCAGACTACTTGTATATTTATTTGTACACGCATTTTTACATTTTTTTTTAAATTGTTCCACAGCCTCAGTCACCCTACGGGACAAAAAGCACGACCGG